CTCTGAGGTTCTGTGATACAAATTACATTGCATCTTGCCTCCACACATTGCCTATGCTTTGTCTTTCTCAGAGCTTCAACATTAGTCACCACTACATTCATTTTCTTTCCATATTCCAAGTTTCTACCCCTTTGGTTCGTCTATCCTTATCTTTGCACCTTTATGACTCCTTGTTGTCCACACTGTTAATGCCTTCTTTGAAAGAAGGAAGAAAAAAAAAGAAATCATATGTTTACTCTCTAATCTTTAACTAGACCACCCTATGGATTTTCCTTTGGCATTTAAAAAAGATCAACTTTATCTTGCAGCTTCAGTGGTCATAAGAATAGGTGATTAGAGCAGTTCTCCTCTATGTTCAAGCTAAGGGAATGTAGACTGTCTGAAGGTTTATAATCACCTGCAAGCAAAATTAAAGCCTTCCCTTACTTCTATAATAGACAACCATCAAAAGGAGAAGAATAACTTCTAAACCTAGAAGGAATTAGTCTGGATAAAGAACAACTTTGGAAAATAGAGTAAATTTTCAGATTCCATTATAAAAAGAAATTCACATGTAATTAAACTGTGTTCCCAGAAATCTGGTTTGTGAAGAAGAAAGGCTTATGTAAGAGGACAGGGGCCTCTCGAGGGAAGCTTCAGTGTAATGTGATGATTATTCTTGTCATTGGCTATTAGGTACTTTCAGAAGACATGGAATTAATTTAGCCAGTATGCCAGGACAGATACAAAGAGTGTTGTAGAACACCATCTGAAAATCTCACCTCTGTGGCATTCCAGCTGTATGCACCCCTTCTCTCTGAAATTGCCGTTTTCACATGAATAGACACAGACATTCTGCCCAACACTGCATGTCTAACTCATTACTGCAGGATGAGTGATACTATGTGATTCCCCCCTGGGGTTGATACTAGAACAGATGACTTCTCAAAATTTGCTATATTCCAATGAAGTTTTGTATCCCTAGGTTTCACAAATATTAAGTCCCAAAGTAATACTGATGCTTAAGGGGAAGCAAATTATTATAACCCTGGGATTTTTAATGCTATCTGCAGGTTGCAACTGTTGACTATGCAGGGCATCATGGAATCTTCCTTTATGTTATAAAAAAACAGATGAGTTCTGGGGTACATTGATTTGACCTCTCCTCTCTGACCTTGTTCTAACTCTTCTCAAATCTTTACTATATACTGTTACGAGACTAATTTCCCTTAAAACTTTTCATTATATTTCTCTTTTATTTACAACCACCAAGACAATCCCTGATCATATGAAATCTAAATGCATTTGTCTAGCTTTTAAGACCTTTCTTAACCTTAGATGCCAGATGGGTTGTTCTCACTGTCCCAGGTCCTCATCCACTGCTGTTCTATATAGTTCCTTTTACCTGGGATTCCCTTTCATTCATTCAGTTTCGTATATTTAACATGTAGTTGTGCCAGGTACAGGGAAACAAGGCAAAGCCCCTTCCATTTAGAAACTCAAAGTCTAATGGGAGAGATAAGTAAAGGATTGAGTTTGTAGGTAAGTCTAAGTAGAGGGTACTGAGAAAGTAAACAGTGGTGGAGTTGTAGGTGAAGGTTTTCCAGAGCAAGTGCTGTCCAAGCAGTGACCAAACAAAAGAGGAAGAGCCAGCCAGAAGGAATAAGATGGGTACTATGGGGTGGCTGAGGAGACCTATCCCTTCAGGGAGAATATCCTCTGCCATTAAATCTACCCTAAAGATCCCGTTCAAGTCTTATCTCCTTTGAGGATTATTTACTGGTCTCTTGTCTAATATCATGGAAAAAGGACAGCCATCTTTCCTGTCCTGTTTTTTTTCCTCCACTGGAGAGGGTCCCTGGGGCTCTCCTTACTTTGGTTTCTGGTGGCCAGCTGATTGCTAGATGGAGCTAAGGAGAGGAGGCACAACACTTTTAAGCATGAACCTAATTCCCACTCTTCAGTCAGGGTCACCAGGCACTTCAAGTTGGATTATGGGCACAAACCCATAGTGGAAACTAGTTTTTTTATTTGCTATTTATTTATTTATTTATTTAATAAAATAAAATTTTATTTTATTTTTTAACTGGAAGTTTGTACCTCTTAGGCCCCTTTATTTCACCCATCTCCCCACCTACTTCCCCTTTGGCAACCACCTGTTCAATCTCTGTATTTAAGAGGCTTTTGTTTGTTTTTTTTATTGTTCATTTGTTTTCTTAAATTCTACATAGGACTGAAATCGTGTGGTTTCTGACTTATTTCAGTTAGCATTGTACTTTCTAGGTCCATCCATGTTGTTGCAAATGGCAAGATTTCATTCTTTTTAATGGCTGAGTAATATTCCATTGTGTGTATATATGTATGTATGTATACGCACACACGTACACATACATACATATATATATATAGCCCATCTTCTTTATCCATTCATTTATCAATGCACACTCGGGTTGCTTTCATATCTTGGCTATTGTTAATAATGCTATAATAAACATAGTGCATATATCTTTTCAAATTAGAGTTTTTGTTTTCTTTGGGTAAATATCCAGTAGAGGAATTACTGGATCATATAGTATTTTTATTTTTAAATTTTTGAGGAAGCTCCATACTGTTTTCCACAGTGGCTATACCAATTTGGATTTCCACTAATAGTGTACAAGGATTCCTTTTTTTCCTCCAAATCCTCACCAATACTTGTTATTTCTTGTCTTTTTGATTCCAGTCATTTTGACAAGTGTGAGGTAATACTTCATTGTAGCTTTGATTTGCATTTCTCTGATGATTAGTGATGTTAAGCATCTTTTCACGTGGCTGTTGGCCATCTGTACATCTTCTTTGGGAAAAGTGTCTATTCAAGTCCTCTGCTCATTTTTCAATTGAATTTGTGTGTGTTGTGTAAATTCCTTACATATTTTGGATATTAACCCCTTATCAGATATATCACTTGCAAGTATCTTCTCCCATTCAGTAGGTTGCCTCTTTGTTTTGTTGATGGTTTCTTTCACTGTGTAAAAGCTTTTTATTTTGGTGTAGTCAATGAATAACCTCCCCAGAGGAGTATCATGGATTTGGGGTGGGATCTGGGCATCCCTGGGTACCTTAGTCAAATACCATACAACAGCACCACCCAAATTTACATCAGACGTGTAATAGTTCTCATTCTTCCAAGCTCTGAGCTAGAAGCCTATAAATAAAATATTAATTAGTCCTTTAGTGTCTTCTACTTTCCTTAAGTTCTGCATTATCACATTCCTTCTCATTAAAAACAGCCGCTGTGCAGCTGTTGGTAGTTTTCACAGGAAGCCAAGGCTAGCCTGTGGCCTAACACAAAGAACAGCTATTCATCATATATTTGCTATATGGTGGTGAATGCAGAACTCAAGTTTGCAGGAGATGACTATAGAAAAAACCCAAAGTGCAGGTGAAGAAGGGAAGCACAGCGCTTTTGCAGGCTTCCTCTCAGGTGACAAATAATTGATTCTAAAAAGGGAGAATCCACTTCACATCAAGAAAATCTAAACAAAACAGAGAAATCAACCTCATTTTCCCATTTGGGACATGAAATCAGTTTCACTGTATTTCAAGATATTTCGTTATCCTCTGCTCAAACTTGAAGAACGGGGTTTTTGCTTTTCTAAAGCTATTTGTTACACCTGCCATTTGATACAGAATCACTCAAGGCAGTGAAAATAAGAAGTTTATAAGGTGAAAATGCTGCAAGATCCATGGCCCAGGGCAGACACATGTTCATCAGCTGCACGAGCTCATTAGATTTGAGATTAGAGACTTTTCTGTTAGAATTTGGTGGTACTCACTCATTTTGACATTGTAAACACATGGTTGAAAATTCTACCGTTTCTCTGAGATGGCCTAATAATTACGTATCCATTAGTTTGTTTAGAGAAATTGGTCCTACTGAGCAGTCTATTATCAGCCTGTTCAAAAAAGTTACTGTGTGTTGGGCGCCTGGGTGGCTCAGTCGGTTGAGCGACTGCCTTCGGCTCAGGTCATGATCCCGGAGTCCCGGGATCGAGTCCCGCATCGGGCTCCCTGCTCGGCGGGGAGTCTGCTTCTCCCTCTGACCCTCCCCCCTCTCATGTGCTCTCTCTCTCTCATTCTCTCTGTCAAATAATAAATAAAAAATCTTAAAAAAAAAAAGTTACTGTGTGGTTCTCCCTAATTTAAAATGCAAAAGTTAGATGGTCATATGTATAGGTTTGAAGTAACACATGCAAAATATGTTGCATAAGCCAGGGTTTTGCTAAGCCCTTCTCTAGCTTGCAAGGTATAAACAATGGCAACTCAAGCAAGTACCAACTGTTGGTTAGAATAATTTCGATGTCTGCTTTACACTGTTCTAATTCAGGTTCCTCTTTAGCATTAGCACCTTTATTTACGTAACTATTATAGTAGCATTACTTATCTTCTCAGTGATATTAACTGGTGGTCTTGAATTTTGAAATCTTTTCCTACCATTCATTTTTCTTTATTTCTTTAAATAAATAGGCTGATTTGATTCCCAAGTCCCCAGGTACATCCAGGTTCACTTAGCCTCTAAGTCTCTATCAGTTCCACATTTTCACATAATACTCATTTGCAAGATGAGCCCAAATATCATCAGGAAATTCCATGAAATCTTTTACTCTTCCTAAATCCTTGGCACCTTATTTACCCTTCTGTATGATATATATCACTTTGCATCTTACACTATGGTTTTAGTCTTCATGTTTTATTTACATAATAGACTTTAGCATCCTGAAGAGTCAGGACTATGTAAAATGTAACTTTACATTATCACAGTGTCTACTAAATTTGCTATTTAAATTTGAATAAATGATGGACAGTAAAAGTAGAATGGTTTCTTTTAGTGGCAAATGTAAGGCGAGCACCCAAAGGAGGTTCCTGTAATTCTATTTAAATTTATTAATTCTCATTTTTAGTTTCACTTGCTTAAGCATGATGCCCCTCAACTGGTCTTTCATAGTCACTACAGAGATATCATATGAACATATTTAACTTGCCTTTCTTGACGGGTTTGCTCCTCAGTAGTTTCCATGGCACATTCCAGAGAATTCTGGAGAGACTGCAGCTGATTCAAGGTCTCCTTCAATAAAAATCGAGTTACAAATTGTTCCAAATTGGAGGCCTCTTGGTAGTCCTAAGGATGATAGAGCAAAGGCAATTAGAAGTATGGTAAGGAAGAATATCCAGGAATGGTTTTCCCCCACGTACCCATCAATCTCAGATTAATTTTCAAGGAGAAACCAGGAAGAGAGCAGACATGTTGCCCCTGGAGGCTGGGGCAGTGCTCTACTCGCCCACCAGAAGTTGAATATAAGAGCTGCAGAGATAACGGGAATATCTAGCTCATCTCCCATTGCATCTGCCTCAATCTGAGGAAAAAGGACAAAACCCACTAGAATTAGAGAATAGACATCTGTAGAAAAGGAAAAGAACATTATCTAGAGAAAAAGCTTGGAAGGTGATTAACTCAGAGTTTGTTCTGTGCTTCATTTAAGTAATGACCATGCATCGTTTATTTTTTCTATTATGAACTAAATGCAGTCACGTTCCAGCAATTGGCTTAGTTCTTTCTTGATGTATTTATTATGCCTGATCTGTATTATACTGAAGCCAAAGGAAATTATGTGTAGTTATCCCCCAATTCAGAAAATGTTAGGCATGGAATATTTAAACAGTTTACTAAATCTGCTTATGTTCCTCCCTCAGGAACTTACCTGAGGCTCGTTTGCATCTAACTCAGCCACAAAAGCACCATGCTTTCAAACAGCCCCAAGTCTACCCGGAGATCACGGCATATACAATAGCTATACTCGTCGAGTTTAGTCTCAGGAGACAGGGGGCCGTGCATGGTGCTACCTGCTGTTCTTGTCTTCTACAGTCTCAGGGAGAACCAAGAAAGAAAAAAAAAAAAACAGGTTGGCCCGGAATAGGTGCCAGACCACTCATTCAGGTCCTGAGACTAGCGAGCTAAACCCAATTTTCTAAAGTATTGAGTGGGAATGACAAATACAAGTTCCGTTAAGAAAGATTGATCTAGCTCTGTCCCTACATGATTTTTTTCATGGGTGAAAATATAAAACCAAAAGGAGTAACAGTGACAAGATAATGCCTGAAGTTACGATGTGCTGGGGAGTCTCAGGTCACGGTTGTAAACCCAGAAAACCAAGACGTAATTATTTAATCTTTCTGGGTCTCAGTTTTCTCATTTACAAATCAGACGATAACCCAGGCATACATTCCAACTCACAAATATTCTGCGCTTCTATCAACTCTAAATTAGGACATAATGGATTGTGACAGAAATTACTTTGTAATTTTTCTTCTGGTGGCCCAATCACCTAATGCCATAGAAATCCTCCTTTTGTTCTTATTTTGAAATCATGAAATGTTTCAATCATCAGTTTCTCTTTAAGTCCATTCTTGTAGGTGAACACGGGGAATTCTCTTATCCACCATACCTAATGATGTGATTTAAAACTTAAAAATTTTAATGCCTTTAAGTTCCACCTAAGAAACTAACCATAAACTGAAACATTACATGCTTATAATAACCTAAGGATTTCTGTGAGTTAATTCAAGGTAAAAATACACCAAATATTTAATTTTATCAAATAGCTTGGTAGTGAATAGCAATAAAAACTTCAAAAAATTATTCCTCAATGTGTTTTTAAGTTGAGGAAATCTTTCTTTTGAAAAGAAAATGTATGACAGAAAAAAAGGTGTGCTTTTTTCCCCCAGTCATTTGCATTTTGTGAAAGCATATTTTTTAAATAAAATTTAAAAAAATTTAAAAATGAAACAAAATTTATTAAAATGCCAAGACAACATATTGGTGTAGTCAGAGATTATGTCAATTACATTTGCATCTCAGTACACACTGTGACTAAAGCAAATGATAAAATTTTATACCTATTTGTAGAGGGCCTGGAAAGGGAAGAAAGCATACATTCACCGAGCAAGGCATTATCACATTAGCCTCACTCTTTTCTCAGTTAAATGTTAAGTATTTGTCATGTCAGAACTATAGAACTAATTGCTTATCATCACAATTAGATTTTAGCTTTCTAGACTCAAAGGTCATGCCTTATACTTCTGTGTGCCTCATGGTGCCTACACCAGATACTCACTCAATACTTGATTGAGAGAAACTCCTAAGTTTAAAAATGTAATTGGGTGGCTACTCTGGTCTTACATATCAAGATTTTGGTGATGCCAAAGTTCAATATTTAAGGACAGTTAAAACCCTATAATTGGCTATTCCATGGCAGCAAATTAAGAAGTGGTTCTTATACTGAGATTTACCTCCCAGTCTGATGAGACTTTGCTATCCTTATTAGTGATTCTTCAGATAATATTAAGAGATGGCAAAAAAAAAAAAAGATAAAAAAAATATTAAGAGATGGCACAACCAGCTAGTACGTTGGACAGAATTGCTGATGCCTGGACACTGAGAGTGGTGGTGGGTGGGTTTAAGATTTGGGGGTATTCAGTTTTTTGAGTCAATACGAAGATTGGCTGTTATGTGCTAACTCTTGATCATAAGGAGAAAAAAAGAGCTTGTTTTCTAATGTTCCTGTTTATCCTTCCAGACTCTGCTCACGGCACCATCTCTGTAGAGCCTCTCCTTTCCTTGAGCCACCATTTTGCTTCATGGGATTAGGCACACCCTTCTTTTCCCTTCTCTGTGCTCCCAGCCAGTGTGTAGAATTTATTACTGTATATTGTAATCTGCTGTCTACTTGCCCATCTCCCTCATCCTAGGCCAGATCTTTCAAGGTAGGAAATATATCTTACAATCATCTCTGCCTCCAGAATGCCCAGAACAAAGTCCGGCTGCCCCATAAATGCTTAAAGGGTATGTGAGCAGCAGGTGTGGGTGAGTGCAAATTCAGGCACCAGAGGGCGCGTCTGAGCGCTGGAAACTGCTCTTGCCTCCCTGCTCCCCTCCCAGGCACCAGCTCCCTCCCCTCCCTCTAGCTCTGGCTGATGGCAGACACTGTTGTCCAGCTTGCCTGGTCGTGTGGGCTCTGCGATAAATGGAAACAAAGGTTTGTTCTTAACAGACTGTTTGTCCTCATTTCATTTTCTGGACCATGTGTCAGTCTTCTTCCCTTCCCTTAATCTGAATCCCAAGGTTTAGGACTGCAGACCCAGGTGGCATGGATCCAATCTTCCCTTCCTTCTTTCAGATGTGCAGCAGATGTTCCTTTGGAAGGCAGTGGCAAAAGCAGCAGATGGAAAATTAAATAGATAACAAGCTGGAAAATGTCAAAGCCTGGCCCTTTCTATTCTCAACAAATGTGTTGGTTCTACAGGTACAAAAAGGGATCTTTGCATGCTGAACTCCCCAAAGACTGATATGTTGGCTTAAAACAGTTCCTGTAAGCAAAATCTAGAATTTGAGAGACTGGCAGAAAGAACATACACTGGTCTACTAAAGCAGTAAAAAAACATAGTACCTGATATCGAGATTCTGCCACTTTTTTTCAGAAACAGTTTAATCCTTTATGTCTATTAGAAAAGGTATGGGTAATGAAGGCTAATAATATGTTCCCCAGATTCCAATAACATTCATTCATGTCACTGATAATTGTCAGTTAAATTAATCTTTACGTGGAAATTGTTAAGTAGCATTAATATTTCCATTTGTGCCTTTGCCAAGCTAGAGTGTGAACATTTCGATCTACCTATTTCTTTTGTATGGAGCTGAAACAGGATGAGGATTCATTTAAGTAAAAACCCCAGCATTAGAAGCAGAGCCCTTTGAAAATCAGGTTTCTTAGGGCCCTGCCTGTGCATCTTAATTGTCAGATCATTTCTCAAAAAGCAAGCTCCTGCCCATCTGCGTAATGGAAGAGTAGAGATCCCGGCTATTAAACCACTATGAATCATCTGAGTTAATTAGGAAAATCAGAGCATCAGTCTTCCCTGTTTGTATTTGTCCTACTTAAAAATTAATCAAGTCTGTGACATTCAGGCTCAGCGTCTTCTAGTTTATGAGATCAGATGCAATCACATTTAGCAGGGGGTACTGCTTCTGATCGCCGTTTGATCTAAGCCCCTGCAGCTTTCCCTGTTCCTATGTGAGACAGCTGTGCTGGCTTCTAGAACAAAAAATTCACTTTTACAAAGATAAGTTTGTCTTTTTTCCCTTACTCTTCCCCAAACTGTTACCTTTTAAAAAATAATAACTGGCTTATACTGCTTTATCTATGTCCTATTTTTGTAAACATTCTTAGACTTTCATTTTAAATGACTTTTCTTTTAAGCTGGGAGAATACTATATCGAATTTAAGGCTTAAAAAAAAAAAAAAAAGAACTGGTCCTTACTTCAGTCTTAAAAATGGACTGAGGTTAATTCCAGATAGGTAGTTAGAAATTTTAGATAGCGGTACAAGAGATTAAAATATTTTCATACTGCATATTCCCAAGGATTAAAGGAATTATAGATTTTCAGGTTAGTGAAAGAGGAAACAAGGCTCTAATTCTGGAATAAAATGCTATTAAATTATCACTAAATTTAAATAACTTGTAAGCCCTACGTTGAGATATTCTGTAGTTCGAAATCAGAACCTGACTTCTATTATTTAAGACCTTTACATTAACAAATTCCATTGTAGAGGGCTCATCCTAAAGTTATCAAAGATTGATTTCATGTAGGTTTCTTTCCTCTGGCTCTTCTTATTGCTCTGTTTCGTACCAGGAGACTAACAAGAACATATGGCCCCTTGGATGTCTTTGCCGAAAGAATAAAATAATCCCATTCTGTTCAGAAGTAATCTTCAAACAAGTGAACTTTGGCAAAAAACAAAAACAAAAACAAAAATCAAAACCAAACCTGGATTTGAATGTGGAAACGATAAACAGAGTCAACCCAAATTTGAGGCTTAATAGCTAACAGATGAAGATTTGGATCCCATTTATCACATTTAATAACAGTGTGGTGATTAAGAATCTAGGTTTGAAGATAGTTACACAAGTTACACATAAGTTCTAATCAGTGTTTATGCCACTTAAAAGCAATGTGAGCTTGGGAAAGTATTCAACCTAAGTCTTTGTTTCCCTAACTATACATAAGAATAGTGGCAATCTCATAAACTTGTGAGGACTGAATGAAATATAGCCTGCAAAGCA